TATGAATGAATAGCACGCTCCCTCCCTGCATGCTGCTCTCAGATCCCCTTCCCTTAGACTACAAAATAGATCCAGACACCCGCATGGCCCTACTGAGCGCCGTGCTCCTGAGAGGTCTGAGGCAGAGTTTGCGATGAATTTTTAATAGAAAACTTCCTATAAGCCTCTGCGCTCGCTTCCTTGCCGTCGAAACGAGTGGCTCTGCTGCTAAATAGCAGCTCAAATGAATTAAAAACTGCAGAGGAGCCTGTAAGGGAAGTAATCCCAGTGAGTAATGATTTAAAGAGCCGCTGACCTCCCTGCGATGTGAACAGTAGCTTTCAAGTATTTGAAAAGAGGCCCATGCAAATCCTGGGTCTTATACTCTATTAACCTCCTCTGGAGCGCAGGGAGGGTGGCGGCAGAATAATCCCCACGTGTCGATGTCTCCTGGTTTGCGGAGGGCCGGAGCGGTGTGAGGTTTGCCCCCTGTTTGCGACTCTGAATCCTGCTGTGCCGAAAAGGCTAATTTAAATGAAAGACAATTCCCGCGAGGGCACGGTGCCGCGGGTCCCCGTAGCTCGGGGCTTTGCTCGCTTGAACACCTCTTTGCAGGAACAGCCGCTGGGTTGCTTTGCTGGGCTCCGCACCTCCGGGGGTCAGCAGACAATTTGGGGGTGGGGGGAGCCTGGTTTGCCGCTGCCCTGTGTTTTGGGTCCCACTTTATATTGCTGCACGTCGGCGGCTAACTCCGCACCTACGCAGCGGAGGAGCGCAGGGCTGTGCAACGGGTTACGGGGGTGAGTCTGCATCCCGTTGCCCTGAAGTCAAGAACGAGGCAGGGTGGGAGGGCAGAGGGTGCCAGAGAAGAGTGGCTTTTGGGGAAGGAGCAGGACATGGAACCCCGCACACCCGGGAATACCCACCCTCAGCGACTGATTCAGGATAGTTTTGGGGAGCCGTTGTATGTTACCTCGAGGACACCGAGGTGATGTAATTAGGTGCCCTTTCTGACAGGTTGCTCCCAGTATAAAAAGGGATTAGATAAACGCATGGATGGCAGGGCTGTGAGCGGACACTGAACGGATAAAGCAACCAAACCGGGAAAGGCAGGAGACGTAAAGCTGGAGACGAGCATCGTGCTGCAGGGAGGCGGCTCTGCCCTGCTGGGACCGAGCCCGAAATCACCCCATGGGGGTTTGCAGGACGGGATGGGCAGCCACGGCGGGGCTCTACCTGCCCGTGCGGGGGACACCCGCCCTGCACGGCTCCGGGGCTGCAGCCTCGGGGGCGGGGGTGACCGGCTAACGCCTCCGGGCCTGCGCAGGGAGGCGGCTGGGGCAAAGGCGGGGTAGCCCGAG